GGAGACCGAAGAATCTATGCGAACTCAGTACCCTCATCTCTTCGACGACCAATGACTCAGGTAATTTCGAGGACGAAATTCTTTTTAAGGGGGGGAGAAATGTAACGCCCCGAAATCTGGCCCAAAAGAATTAATTAAATTGTTAGAGCAATTGATTACGAATTGGGCCCAAAAAGGGGTTAAAATTATAATTTGGATTCTAAGCCCAACTTTTATGTCATCTCGTAGGAAATATTTTTGTGATCGCGTTGGTTCAGACAGCTCGCGAATCGGAGTTATGGAGCTCATGTTATGACCATTTAATCAGGTATTTTAGGCCCGGAGCCCAAACCACTAGTATTGGAATTAATAGATAAAACCTAAACTAATTTCAGCCGTAGGATCGTTATCTTCTTTCTTCTTCTTCTTTCTTTCTTCTTCTTCTACTTTCTTTCTTCTTCTTCTTCACTTCGGTCGCCCTTCCCCAGCCATCGCCGCAGCTTCTCCTTCGCCAGAAGTCCGTCGCCCACTGCCAGTTCCAGCGCCGCCAATCGCCGCTGCTTCCTTCGTCGGTCGTCCTCGCCATCGAGCTGCTGCGCCGCTGTTTCGCCTTCGTCGGTCGTCCGCCGCCGTCGAGTTGCAGCGCTGCCAGTCGCTGCCCAGCGCCGCCGTCGCCCTTAGCACAGCGGCCATCCTCACCGTCGAGTGCAGTGCCGCCACGTCGAGCGCTGGACGTCGCCTCCCCTACCAGCGTCCGCCATCATCGCCGTCGAGCTGCCGCTCCGCCACTGTCGCCGGCGTCCATCACCGTCGCTGCATCCAGCCGCTACCCCGGATTGATATCGCCGGCAGATTAACCTCCACGCCGGATTGATTGGTCGATTTCGTATTTTGACTCAATTTGACCCGTTCGTTTGATTTCGTTGATTTGTCTTCCGTTCGAGCTATCGATTCGATTTCGGCGTAATCCAGGTCCGTACCATGAAGTTAATAGCGTTAAGAATAGATTTAATGGTTTGGATCGTTATATGTGTTTATGCTATGATTTGGCTAAATTGGTTAATTGAATTAAATGGATTATCTGAATTGAATTGTTGAGGATTGTGAATTGACTGAACAGGTTTGACTTTGACTTGGGTTAGGTCATGTTTGACTTGGACTTTGACTGGATATTCTGTTCACGTAGGTTTGACCTAATCGTTAAATCCAAGACTTTATTGAACTAATTAAGTTAATTAATTAATTCTAATCAGTAGATAGGATCAATTGGTTTATTATGTCGAACATAGAAACTGGCCATTGCTCGGGAGGCTGCAGTGCCTGGTCAGTGAGGTTAAGACGTGCGCATGAGGGTCTGTGATCTTGGGTTTGAGGCTATCGCCCGAGGGATCCTACCTCCACCGAATTGAGGCTATCTTCGGTATTACGGATTGAGGCTATCTCCGTCATTGGCATTAAATGTTAAGTGGTTTGACTTTCGTGAAAGTCTAAATTGGTTTGACCGGTGGTCAAAGAGTTAATGAGGAATCCTTGACACCTAAATCGTTTTGAAAAGAAAGAAAATAAGTTGACTGTTGGTCAACCGTCTAAAGAACCGAATGTAAACTTGAATTGATTTTTATTAAAAGGATAAACATATGCGCGATCTTAATCATTGAATTATTATGTTTATTCTTGTGCTACAATGGAGTCCAACTCAGCGTCAATGCTGAGCGGATAGCGTTGTTTTCCTTTTTGCTGTCCGTAGGTGATCAGACACATGAACCTAGAGCCGATCCCAGAGGGCATTGAGGAGGAGATGTACGATGGCGTGGCTGTCTCTTTAATCTGTTGTTATGCTTTATTTAATTAACTTTAATGCTTATTACGTTTTCGGGCAAGATCCCA